AAATAAATAAATAAATAAATAAATAAATAAATAAATAAATCAATCAATCAATCAATCAATCAATCTGCTAAATCTGCTACCCTCAGTTAGGAGATGAGCTGCTGCATTGTGGACCTACTGAAGCTTCTGAAGACAGTACCATGTAAAGCCTGTTAAAGTAGTCTATCCCCAGCAGGTGGCTGGGGCACAAGTCAGGGCACCTCAGTCCAAAAAGGCCTATGTGACTTGATAGTATACCTACCATCTGCAAGATGCTTTGTTCCTGATGCCTTCTTTTCTAGGTGTAGGGAATTTGGAGGGGGGCTGTATTCAATTAGATGGATCCTTAATTTGCAACCGAAATGCTATAATTGGGGAATAGTTTTACCATCTCATGTATAATATTGGAAACTGACTTATATAGGGGTAGATTGGAATATGCATATATAAATCTACGGTACTACCATATAAGAAATACTGTGTACAGTTCTGGTCACTGGACCTTATAAAAATATGGAATAATTGGAAAAGGTGCAGAAAAGGGTAACCAAAAGGTCTAGGGAACTACAGTAGCTCTCCAAGAAGGAATGACAACAGCCTTTGAACGTTTTTAACTCAGAAAGCAAGCATGTTGTTGTTGACACAGAAATTAGAACAATCAAGTGTGGCATAGAAAATGTAGGTAGAAAAAAGTATTTCTCCTCCTTTCAAAATACTGTGACATTTGCTAATGTGAAGAAATGTGGTAAAACAACAGAATTTGTTGTCATCAGATTAGGTGATGTTTTCAAAAAGGACTAGACAAAGTCAAGACAAAAAAGAGCCACCAATGGCTTCTTTCTTCAGAATTGCATACGATATATTAAATAATACTTTCTGGGAAAGGACAATGCTTGGGAACTTCCCAAATGCACCTCAGTGTCCTCTTTGTGACTAGTTGGCCTGCTCCAGCAGGACTCTTCTTATGCTATTATTATCCATCGAGGTTGGCTGTCTATTCTGGTGAGTTTTGACTTTCAGGAGGTCCCAGGGAAAGCACCTTATAACTCTTTTAACTGGAGATGAGAAGGACTCAGGCTATGATCTACTAGATGCAAAGCATGTGCTTTGTCCTTCAGTCATGCTCTTCAAAAAATCTCACTATTGCCATGAAAGAGAACTGTGTTTGCAGTCCAGAGCAATCTCCAAACGGATGACTATAGGAAAAAAAGAGAGAGAGGAATCCATAATGCCTGCACAGAAGTTCCAATACTGGAGCCAAATGTCTTCTATCAGACTTACCTCCAGGATGTGGTTCTTGGCTGCTTCCAGGGAATTTGTACTTCCTGTACCTAGAGAAGCTGTGAGTCCCAAAATCTGAGGTAAGCCCTGTTGGCCTTTCAGCTTGCGGTCCAAGTAGTCCTCCATAATCTTGTTGTAAACAGTCCCTTTGTGAGTGTGGTGACACTCATCAATCACCAGTAAAGAGAAATCTGTACAAAATATAAAAAGTAATGATCAGCTTTTGCACTTACTATAGTGCATTCTTCTTTAATAGACTGATTATGGGAAGGGGGTGTTTATATTCACGAATGTCTGCTGAACTGGAGAATATATAATTTGTGTGATGGTGTAAATCATGGCATAAATTTGGCCTGCGGCACACAAAATCCACTGCAGGGAAATCTGGAATAGCTGGTTTCACTAAACTGTTAATTTCTGTTGCGGATTAGAGCCCTCCATGGAAAGGAAGATACCAGATATTCAAACTGGCTTTAGAAAAGGCTGAGTAGCAAGAAATATTACTACTGATGTGTGGTGGATAATTGGGAAAGCCAGAGCATACTGAAAAGATGTCAATATGTGCTCCACTGATTAAAGAAAGGCCTTTGATTATGTCAATCATGCCAGTCTATGAAATGTGCTTAGGAAAATGGTAATCCCAGAACATCTTTTTGTGCTTATGTGAAACTTGTACATAGGATAGGAGGCCACAATCCTTATGGAACATGGAGAAAAGACTGGCGTCAGGTCAGCAAGAACTGAGACAAGGCTTTATAATCTCTCCTTATTTATTCAAACTATATGCTGAATACACCTTGAGGAAAGACGGATTGGAAGATGAGCGTGGTTTTAAAATTGGAGTAAGTAACATTCACAACTTGTGCTATACTGAATACTTTATTTTAATAGATGAAAATGCAAATGATCTGGAAGCTTTACTAATGAAAGTCAAGGAGCACAGTGAAAAAATGCGAGTAAGATTAAATATAAAGGAGACCAGACTAATGACAATGGGAACAGCAACTAGTCTTGAATACTAGTTACTGAAGATACTGAATACCTTCTGCCATTTAGGACTGATTATCAACAGTAAAGGACCAACAGTCAAGAAATAAGGCACAGACTAGCACTTGGTAGGATAGCAATGAAGGCCCTGGAAAAGATTTTCAAATGCTGTGATGTGTCTGTACCTACAAATATCAGAACTGTGCAGGCAATGGTTTTCCCTGGGACACTCTATGGAAACAAAAATTGGACTTTCAAGGAGGACAGAAAAAGTATTTATACCTTTGAACTATGCTGTTGGAGAAGACTCTTGATGGTCAGGAAAACTAAAAAAAGGTATTATGTAACAAATCAATCAAGAGTTCTCACTTGAGGCACAAACAATCAGGCTCAAATTATGGACTCATTACATGAAAAGCCAGTTCTCTTGAGAAGACAATAAAGCTAGAAAAGGAAGAAGGAAAGAGAAGAAGAAGAGAACTAGCAATAAGGTTGTAAGACCTGAAAGGGCAGGTCGATAGATCATCCTGAAAAAGGTCTATCTATGTGGTCAATAAAAGCTAATACTGACTTGATGCAGATAATCAATCAATCAACATTTCATGAAAAGCCCTCCCAAGAAAAAAATTATAATTTAAAATAAATTTATTAATTAATGTTGACCAGAACACATTATAGGAGGCAATTTGGTGTAGCAGTTAAAGGCACCAGGCTAGAAACGAGGAAACTGTGAATTCTAGTTCTGCTTTAGCTAGGAAGCCAGCTGTGTCACTTTAGGCCTGTCACTTTTTCTTAGCCCTAGAAAGAAGGCTATGGCAAACCACTTCAGAAAACATTGCCAAGAAAACTGCAGGGAATCACCAAGAGTCAAACTGACTCAAAGGCACACATAGAGAACATAATATAGAGGTATTTCACTGGTTATCTACCAGTTTCTTCTCATTTGAGATTCTATAGCATTGGAGGATTGTCAAGAGGCAGACTGCATCTAATGCAAGTGGACTGTAAAGCCTATGTTTGTGGCTGTCGAGATCCCCCTTGGCTGGGGCTCCATGTCAAAACCACTTTTTGGTTTCGTTTTTAGCAAGAATGAAACTCTATGGAGCCCTCACTGGGCATAACAGAAAGCTCTGTAAGCATCAGCATTGTAACTTTTTGATTATGTGCCAACAAGTCAGCATTGACTCTAAAAAGCTATTTGGCAACTGGATTTAGAGAGGCATTGACATATAACAAGGAAGGGGAATTGGAGGGATTCCATTCACAGCTATTCTTGGTCAAACTTTGCTAACCAGGGAAAGGAATCCCTTTACTTTTACTTCACTACCCATTTTGCCTCCAAGAAGATCAGGTCAGTTAATGACTACAGAATTTGCAGCAAAGGCGCCAACCTGAACTATGGCTAAATTGAAATTTAATCCCAAACTTGACCCTATTTATTTAGGGCTTGTGGCACCAAAGTTTTATCTTCCATGAAAGTTACTGATCTTCTCTAGCACAAGTTTATAAGATAATGAGATTAATAATTCCTGTTATTGTCAATGGCCATTGACGTGTAGGCCTTTCTGTTTTCTACAGATTTACTTTCATTGTCTCTCTCTCTGGTTTGTAAAACAGTGGAGGATTCTCTCACACATATGAGAAAGGCTACATTTACAAATGTTTATCCCCCCCCCCAAATATATATCTCTAACATGCCACAAAAATGTTAGTTTTAATCTAAAAAATATTATTTTCCTCCTGCTCCACTCTGATATATTCCCTTTGATATAATGGGAAAAGTATGAGTTCCTTTCTACATATTTTGAACAAGATAGGCTTGCTGTACCATGGTTAGTTGAACACTTTAACCACTACACTTCACTGGCTCTCTTTTGGTTTACTGAGAAGCTGAAAAGAACGAAAGCAATATTGGAGGTGGCAAAATAGCTAGGAAAGTCAGAAAGCACACAGTTCCAAGCGCACCCCAGCAATGTAGAAAGAATGTGACCTTAGGGAAGCAAATGTCTCCCAGTCTTGGTCCCCCATTTGTAGCATGGCGTTAATAATACTGACCTCATCACTGAACTGTGTAAGAGATACTATAATAGCCATGTAACTATCAACAGGTGTATCACAGTTGCAAAGCTTTGTTAATGCTATAATTGGGCAGGACAACTCTATTTGCTGTTTGCAGAGCTTCAACATTACAACTTCTAAAATTTCAAAAGCACTGACAGTGAAAGTGAGGGCAGTGGCTTATTTTTGTTCCTTTCTCTGCTAGGTTTTTAAAAAATTATTGTTCTCCTCCTGTTCCAGACATTGATCCACCACCTTTTCTTCTTCTCTAATACTAGAACTTTGACAGCGATGAAACAAGGTGCCAGATGTATTGTGGAGGATTCCACAAGGGTGGTTCTAAAATCAGAGCTTCTTTCCCTGCCCTCAGATGGAAGAACTGTTAATTTCTTGGTGTTCTGGGATGCCCTTTCAGTGATCACAGGACCATGTTCAAAGGATGACAATAAAGACAATAGTGAGCTTGAATGGGGAATCACAGCTTAAACTACAAAATTACTGTATCAACCTGCTGCTCCCACCCTGCCCACCCCCACTCTTTTCAGATACTAACTTATACTAAAAGAGACAGTGACTGTCTGTTTCAGTATGGTCTACAGTACCGTGAATCTGCTATATCCTGGTCTTTTAATTGGGGATACTAGATATATAGTTTGCATAGAGGGGAACTAGACCAGACACTTCTTGTCTTCATGTACTGATAGTGAGTTTCCCAGAAGCATTTTTGTCATAAATAATATATCGGGGGGGGGGGCAATTTCTGCTTAAAGGACTGGATATCCTCTTAAAGAAAGTCCTAGGAACTACATGAAATAATTACCATAACCTGCCTTAGGCAAAAAAACCAAACCAAACCAAACCAAAAACACTACGGGCTCTGATAAATAGCAGCTCTTTGCAATGTGCTCTGAGAAATAAAGTGATCTGGTTGCCAGACAGGAGTCTGGGACACCTCCTTACATCTTGACTCCTATTTGTGGTCTAGATGGAAAAGTCTCACAAGCCACATATGTCCTATGAGCCACAGGCTTCCTATCTCTAGAGTAGATAGGTCTTAAGTCTGAACCAGTAGAATGTTGAGTGTTTAGTTTGTATATAAACATTATGTAATTGTAGAACAAGAGCATATTTTGATGGGTTAAGATATTTAATCTGAAAACAATCAATAAGCAAAACCATCACAATGAATCACATTATATTTCTGTGAACCACAGTACCCTTCCCATCACATCCTACCAATGGCTACTCACCAGTCAGCTCCACACGCATTTCCTCTTCTTGGTGGGTGAGGGCATTATACAGGATTTGGGGTGTGCAGATTATCAAGTCATGGCACTTTACCATTTCTGAGAAGAATATCTTCTGGATCCTATCACCACAAAGAGCTGTAATTCGGAACTGACTTTGTAAGAAGCTGAATTCATTCTTCAGATGTTGGTCAACTAGAGGCACCTGCCAGGACAAAGTCGCCATGGTGAAACATTTTCCAGGGAATGAAACGGACACCATTAGGCTGTATATGCTTTCAAAATATTTTGGAAGAAGCATTTTGGAATTGGCAAGAGCACAACACTTCCCTGCTACCTGTTAAAGCAGCTTCTTTTTTTTGGACTTCCATGTGGGCCTGAAGAAAGAAGCTGCTCCTTTGTTCAAACTTGTGCAGAAATCTGAAAAAAAGAAGGGCTGCTTTTATAATTAACAGAGAGGTGTTGAACTTGTTTGAGGTCCAAAGTACTTCATCTCTGAACCATGTGCAATCCAAGAAGCCATGAATTTTGGAAAATTATCTTCCATTGCCCTCTGTCAACTGGTACTTACTGTGTTGGCTAACACAACCACCTTGTTCTTATCTTGACTCTCCAAGTGTCTCTTACAGACATAGACAGCTGCCCGGGTCTTTCCAGCTCCTGTTGGCAGCCATATGATGATATTCTTTCCTTCCAAAGCAGGCCCAATGACTTTCCACTGATAATCACGCAGTTCCAGTTCCATAGGATCAGATTTAGAAAACCTGCTGAAAGAAGGAAGGAAGGAAGGAAGGAAGGAAGGAAGGAAGGAAGGAAGGAAGGAAGGAAGGAAGGAAGGAAGGAAGGAAG